CTTTCTGTCTCCAGGTCGTTCCTCGTCCGCCCGCGCCGCCCAGCCTTTCGGTCTCAGCCTTTGTCTCGCTTGGGTCTGCGCGTTCGCCTGCCGCTGTCTCTGTCCTCGTGTCCTCTCTTCTCTCTCCGTCCCTGTGTCTCTGGGTCACGCTGTCTCCGCTCCCTCCCTCCATGCCTCCGCCCGGTCGGTGGGAGTAGAGAGACGGGGGTCCGAGCCCGCCCCCTCGGGACTCCCCATCACTCCGCTCCTCGGGAGCTTTCCCGCCCCGGCCTCGGTGCCTCCGTTTCCCATCGAATGAGAAGATGCGATCGTGTAAGGAACAGGGTTTCCCAAAGGGTTCATTCAGGTCAAAGCCCTGGCACTTCTCAGCCCGAGGGAGCCACAAACCTCCCGACCCTCAGCGCACGCGCGCGCGCACACACACACACACACACACACACACTCACATTCACACACTCACGCACTCACACACACATACACACACTCACACACACGCACTCATACACACACTCACACACACACTCACGCACTCTCACATACACACTCACACACACACACTCACGCACTCTCACATACACACACACTCACACACACACACACCCTCTGCACTCGCCTGTCCCCCTTTAACCGCCTATCCTGGCAGCCCCACTTGGCCAGCCCCCTCCTCACCAGCGTTCCCTCCTGAAAACAGGAAGAGGCTGTTGTCCATCATGGCTATTGTTTTGGGGGGCTCACTCCATGCCAGGCACAACCTCCTTTAATCCTCACCGCCACCCTCTGAGGGTGGAAACTCTTAGGCCCCATTTATAGATAAGGAAACTGGAGGTTCAGAGAGGCCAGGCCACTACCCCACCGTCACGATGCCCCTATAGCTCCCCGTACTCCCGCACGTCTTCCTTCAGTGCCCAAGCGAGCTCCCACCTCAGGACCTTTGCACTGGCAGTCCCTTCCACTCAGACACATGTCCACAAGAAGCCTACGTGGCCTTTCCTCGCTTCCTCTGCTCTAACGTCACCTTTTCCGAGAGGTCCTCCCTGACCACTTGCTCTAAAATAACAGCATCCCCTGCCACCAGACCGACCGTGAGAGGGTGGGCACCGGGGAGGGGAGCTGTTCACTTAAGTGTTTGCACCTGGCTTAAAACGTCTACCTCCATTAAAACTTTTATTTTACCAAGTGATCTCAAAGCACCTCCCCCCTCTAGCTCCTTTCCTTGCTTCCTTTTTCTTATCGTCTCCTATTTGCTTATTATCTCATCCAGCAAGAAACTCCATGGGGCGGGGCTCTGCTTGTTCACTGCTCTATCCCCAGTGCCCGGTACAGTGCCTGTCCATAGCAGGTGCTCAAAAAATGCTCAGTGTGTAAATAGAATTAAAGTGAGTGAGCCAGGTCCCTCAAACCCATGTCTGTCTGAAATGTGGCTACTTAACCACACACAAAGAACTGGCACAGATTTATATATTGATTTCAGAGAGGGAGAGATAGAAACATCAGTGATGAGAGAATCATTGATCAGCTGCCTCTTGCACACCCCACACTGGGATGGAGCCCGCAATCCAGGCATGTGTCCTGACCGGGAATCAAACCCTGACCTCCTGGTTCATAGGTCGACACTCCACCACTGAGCCACGTCAGCCGGGCAAGGGGGGGCACAATTTCCCAGTACCTCCTGGACGTAGGACAGTTGAGGTGGGGTCATCTTTGTGTTTGCATTCTAACCCTCCTGAGAAGACCAATTGGAGGGCAGAGAGGAGGTTGGTTCACAGGCTATGGCTTCAGTTATTCCAGGCCATTCTACAGCTGCCCATTCTCTGGTCCAGCCTTGAACTTTGCAGGAAGTTTTGCAGGAAGAGCATCTAGATCAAGAGAACTTTTTTAAAACAGTGGGCAGATGATGATAAAACTGGCAAAAATCGGAATACTTGACCACAGTGCCTGGGAGGCTGTGGGAACGTTGTGGATGAGAGAGGGCAAAATGACAGGTATCCTTATCTTTTCTGATGGTTAATTTATGTGCCAACTTGGTTGGCTACACAGGGTGTCCAGGTATTTGGTCAAACATTATTCTGGGTGTTTTTGGATGAGATTAACATTCAAATTGGCAGACTGAGGAAAGCAGGCTGCCCTCCTCAATATGCCCTCCTCTTCCAATTCAAGTTGGAGGCTTGAATAGAACAAAACGGCTGAGCCCCAGGGAGAAAGAATGTCTCCTGCCTGAGTGCCTTCCGATGGGACATTGGTCTTCTCCGCCTTCACACCAGAACTGAAACCTCAGTGCCTGGGTCTCAAGCCTGTGCCAGCTTCCAGACTAGAGCTTATACCATTGGCTCTCCTAGGTCTTTAGCTTGTCAACTGCAGATCTTGGACTTCTCAGCCTCCATAATCATGTGACTCAATTCCTTAGAATAAATTATTGTTATAATAAATATATTTTGTTATAATCATATATATATTCTATATTATATATAAACTAGAGGCCCAGTGCACAAAATTTGTGCACTTGGGGGGGTCCCTCAGCCCGGCCTGCGCCCTCTCACAGTCCAGGAGCCCTCAGGGGATGTCCAACTAAGCCCGCAGTTGGACATCCTTAGCGCTGCCATGAAGGCTGGAGAGGCTTCCGCCACTACCACTGAACTTGCCAGCCGTGAGCCCAGCTTCTGGCTGAGTGGTGCTCCCCCTGTGGGAACGCACTGACCACCAGGAGGCAGCTCCTGTGCTGAGCGCCTGCCCCCTGGTGGTCAGTGTGTGTCATAGCGACCAGTCGTTTTTGCCATTAGGTCGATTTGCATATTAGCCTTTTATTATATAGGATCATATATACAGGGTAGGGCAAAAGTAAGTTTACAGTTGTTCATATGGAAAAGTAAGTTTACAGTTGTTCATATGAGTTACCATTACTTATGGTAACTCATAAGTAATAATACAAGAATAAACTTTCTCATACTCACAGCTGTAAACCTACTTTTGCCCTATGATATATATATACGTATATATATATATATATATATATATATATACACACACAGGCCCCAACAGGGGTCAGGGATGGAACCTGCAGCTGAGGTACCTGCCCTTAACTTGGAATCGAACCTGCTGACCCTTCAGTCAGCAAGCTGATGCTCTAGCCACTGAGCCAAATCAGTAGGGCAAGTCTGTAGTTTATTAATAGTATCGTGCCAAGGGTCCCAGGTTATATATTTATATACATATTTAGTCCCATTTCTCTGGAGAACCCTGTCTATTTAGTACACTTTCTGAACCAGCTTTTTTTTTATTTTTTAGAATAGTCCTTAGAAGTAAAGTGTAGGGATGAAGAATGAGCTAGGTGCAAGAACACTGATTTCAATGGCCTTTTTAATAAAAAGTCACCCTATAGCTCTATCAAGGAACAAGTGAGATAGACAAAGATGAAGGCAGAATACGCAGTGTTTTGTTTAATTTAAATAAAGGCACTGTGGTGCTGTGATTAAGGGTAGGGGCTCTGGATCCATATTCCATACCCTGGTGCTTCCTGGCTGTGTGACCCTGTACAGGTGGCTTAACCTCTCTGTGTCTCATTTTCTCCTCTGGAAAATGGGCATATTAATAGTACCTGCTTCATAGTTTTATTTATTTATTATATTATTACTTTTTATTTTGAAATAAGACTTACACACCCAGCCAGCACGGCTCAGTGGTTGAACATTGACCTATGAACCAGGAGGTCATGGCTCAATTCCTGGTTAGGGCATATGCCCGGGTTGCAGGCTCGATCCCCAGTAGGGGGTGTGCAGGGGGCAGCTGATCAATGATTCTCTCTCATCATTGATGTTTCTGTCTCTCCCTCTCCCTTCCTCTCTGAAATCAATAAAAAAAATGTTTTTATGTCTTACAGAAAAGGTGCAAAATAGCATAAAGAGTTCTAATATACCCTCACCCAGTTACCCCTACTGCTAACATCTTACATAACCATAGTAAATTTATTAAAACTAAGAAATTAACCTTGGCACAATACTATTAATAAACTACAGACTTGCCCTAGCTGGTTTGGCCCAGTGGCTAGAGTGGCGGCCTGCTGACTGTGTGTCCCAGGTTCGATTCTGGTCAAGGGCATATGCCCACCTTGTGAGCTTAATCCCCAGTAGGGGGTGCGCAGGAGGCAGCCGATCAGTGATTCTCTCTCATTGATGTTTCTCTTTCTCCTTCTCCCTTCCTCTCTGAAATCAATACAAATATACTAAATAAAATAAAATAAAAAATAAATAAACTACAGACTTGATTCAGATTTCTTGTTTTCCTATTCATGTTCTCTTTCTGTTCCAGGATGCAATCCAAGGTCCTTCATCACATTTAGTCATGTCTCCTTAGACTCCTCCAGTCTGTGACAGTCCCTCTATCTCTCATGACCTTGACACTTCTGTGAAGGACTGGTCAGTAATGGTGTACATTGTCTCTCAATTTGGTTTGTCTTGATTAGGTTGAGGTTTTGGTATTACTGGGAAGGATACCAGGATACCAGAGAGGTGATGTTCTCGTGAAGGGGGGGGGGGGTTATGATGTTACTATGACTCATCGCTGGTGACGTTACCCTCGGTCCCTTTGATAGGTGGTGTCTGCCAGGATCCTCCACAGTGAAGCTGCTGTTTTCCCTAGGGTTGTTTTGAGGACTGCGTGTTAAAGAGTCTATATAGTTTACACATACCATTGTGCTCTGTGTTAATACAAAAAAATACGTAAATGCTTGTGTTTGTACTTCTGCAAAGTAAATAACATGGCTCAGTGGTTGAGCGTTGACCTATGAACTGGGAGGTCCCTGTTCAATTCCTGGTCTGGGCATATGCCCAGGTTATGGGCTTCCTGTGTGGGGCGTGCGGGAGGTGGCCCATGGGTGATTCTCTCTCATCATTGATGTTTCTATCTCTCTCTCCCTCTCCCTTCCTCTATGAAATCAATAAAAACATATTTAAAAAGGAAAAGAAAACAAGAGCTGTAACTGCCTCAAGAGGGTAATGGGCACTGGGAGCTCTGAAGCCAGGTTTTCAGATCAGCCGCCCCATCACTGCCCACATGTGCCCTCACCCACGTCCCAGCTGAGCAGATCTAACTGTGCCTGCAACTTAGCGAGGGGTGCCCAGGAGAGGGCAGTAGTGTCCCCAGCAGCTGTCCAAATGGCTATCAACGTGCTGGGGAGGGGGTGTGCAAGCCATCCTGGACCAGTAGCTGATTGGCTGCAGCGCTTCTCAGATCGGCCAATCACAGGAAGCTTGATGGGACAGATCTGCTGTGGCTGCAGAGTCTGTGAAGCATCCCAAGGGTGCCTGTGTCTCCTTGTCAGCACCCTGCGTCATGGAGGCCAAGGGACTGCAGAAATGGCTTTATGGGGGAAATAACCATCCTCGCCTGGAGCCATTTCCAAGTCCCCATTTTATGCGATAACCCACTCAGGTTATAAACAGCTTATTTGGGGAGCTCAGGAGCCCCCCTCCAATCTAACCTTATCTTTTTTTAGGAGACTTAAAAAATTGTAGTAAAATATATAACATAAAATTTACCATTTTAAATGTATAGGTTTGTGCCCGACCAGCATGGCTCAGTGGATAGAGCATCAGCCTGCGGACTGAAGGGTCCCAGGTTCGATTCCAGTCAAGGGCACATGCCTGGGTTGCAGGCTCAATCCCCAGTGTAGGGTGTGCAGGAGGCAGCCAATCAATGATTCTCTCTCTTCATTGATGTTTCTATCTCTCTCTCCCTTCCCCTTCCTCTCTGAAATCAATAAAATATATTTTTTTTAAAAAAGGAAAAAAAACTACTCAAAAATCTATCTATATATATAAAAGCCTAAGCGACCATTATGGCAAAACAACTGGAATGACCGGTCACTATGATGCGCACTAACCACCAGGGGGCAGACGCTCAACGCAGGAGCTGCCCCCTGGTGGTCAGTGCGCTCCCACAGGGGAGTGCTGCTCAGCCAGAAGCCGGGCTCACGGCTGGTGAGCGCAGCTGCCACGGTGTCGGGAGCCTTTCCCAATGCCGCAGCAGCCCTACTGAGTGGTGGCAGCAGGCACAACGGGCCAGATGAGCATGAGTGGCACAGCGCCCGGCCCCAATTCAGGCTCCTCCCTGACTGCCTGCTGCTTGGCTCACTGGTACACCCCCTGAGGGGTCCTGGACTGTGAGAGGGATGTCTGACTGCTGGCTTAGGCCCGATCCCTGAGGGGGTCCCTAAGCCAGTAGTCGGACATCCCCTGAGGGGTCACGGACTGCGAGAGGGCATAGGCCGGGCTGAGGAACCCCCCCCCCAGTGCACAAATTTCGTGCACCGGGCCTCTAGTAAATAAAATATTTATTTGTGGTATGAAGTACAATTATGTTGTTGTATACCACCATCCACCCCCAGGACTTTTTTCATCCTTTAAGGCCAAAATTGTCACTATTAAACACTAATTCCCCATCCCCTCTCCCTCAATCCCTGGCACCCACCATTCTATGTTGTTTGTCTGATAATTTGACTACTCTAGGGTCCTCATGTAAGTATAATCATACAGTATTTGTCCTTCTGTGATTGGTTTATTCACAAAATGATAGAATTTCCTTCCTTTCTAAGGCTGAATAACATTCCAGTGTATGTACATACCACATTTTGTGTGTTAGTTCTTCTGTCAATGGACACTTGAGTTGCTTTCACAATTGTGAATCATGCTGCTGTGAATATGGTGGGTAACTATCTGATTGAGTCCCTGCTTTCAGTTTTTCTGGGTAAATAGTCAGAAATGGAATTGCTGAATCATATGGTAGCTCTATTTCTATTTTTATTTTTTTGAGAAGCCACTATACTGTTTTACATGGTGCTGCACCATTTTACATTTTCACCAACAGTATACAAGAGTTCCACTTTCTTCACAACCTCATTAGCACTTGTTAGTTTTTATTTGTTTTTTATAATCGCCATCCTAACGGGTGTGAAGTATTTAAATAGGCTTTTAAAGTATATCATGCATACAGAAAAGTATACAAATTATAGATCAGTGAATCAATTATCACTTTTTAAAGCTTTTAAGTTGAGATATTAAAGTAAAATGCACAACTATTAATAGATAGCTCAATGAATTTTTACATATATATGCACATGTAATTGCCACACAGCTCAAGCTATAAAACATTTATTTTTTAAAAACTCCTATTCTATTAATATCAACCATCTTGTTAATCACATGTAGCATTTTACATTTCTTTTCGAATATATTTTTACTGAGAGGAAGAGAGAGATAGAAACATCATTGATGAGAATCATTGATCGGCTGCTTCCTGCATACCCTGACAGGGGATGGAGCCCACAGTCAGGGCATGTGCCCAAACCTGGAACTGAACTGTGACCTCCTGGTTCATAGGTCAAAGCTCGACCACTGAGCTACACCAGC